AGGAGGAGGGCGGCCCCGGGGATGATGGGCAGAGCTCGGCCAGCCCCCACCAGGCCACACAGGTGCCCGAAGGTGAGTGGGCAACGCGGCTCCCCATTCCCCAGTCCACTCTGTGTGGCGGCAGGGAATAGTGAGTCCCCTCAGAGCCCTTGGGGCCTCATGCGTGCTGGGGGCCTGGGAGCCCCGTCTGCTCATTATCCACACCGCAGGCGCAGCCAGCAAGTGGGGCCTGGTGGCTGAGCGACTGCTGGACCTCGCAGCCAGCTTCTCGGATGTGCTCGCGCGCGTGCAAGTGTTCACACGGCGCCTGCTAGAGCTGCACGTCTTCAAGCTGGTGGCCCTGTACACCGTGTGGGTGGCCCTCAAGGAGGTGCGTGGCCGGCAGTGGTCGCCACTCAGGCCTCTGCTCCCCATCCAGGTGGCCTCCCTGGAGGTCTGGGGCAGCTGTGAGTGGTCCCTGGGTCTGGCCTGGGGTGGTTGTCGGTGGTTCCCGGAGCCTGGCCTGGGGCCATTCTGGGTGGGCCCTGGACCCTGGCCTGGGGTGGTTGTGAGTGGTCCCTGCTCAGCCTGGGGCAGTCTTCTGTGGTCCCTGGGCCTGGCCTGGGGCGGTTGTGGGTGGCCTCTGGTCCAGTCTGAGGTGACCGTGGGTGGTCCCTGGGCCTTGCCTGGCACTCCCCGCCCTCCTGCAGGTGTCAGTGCTGAACCTCCTGCTGGTGGTGCTGTGGGCCTTTGCCCTGCCCTACCCGCGCTTCCGGCCCATGGCCTCCTGCCTGTCCACCGTGTGGACCTGTGTCATCATCGTGTGCCGAATGCTCTACCAACTCAAGGTGGTCAACCCCCACGAGTACTCCAGCAACTGCTCCCAGGTACCACCCGCCTGGCCATGTGGCCTGGGGCTGCGGGGAGCTCCAGGCCAGCCACATTTGTGAGCTTACCCCTTGGGGCAGCTGCTTCAGCACAGCGTGTGCATACAGAGGCGGGGGAGGGCCTGTGCCCCGAGAGTCAGGGGGCTTCCTGGAAGTGTTGTCCATTGGCCTGGTCTGCAGAGGACCGAGGTCCCTTCCGCAATGCCAGGGCATCTTGTTCTGATTCGGCTAAGGCCGGAGCCCTCCTGCAGCAGAGGATCCCCAGCTAGGCCTGGGGAGGGATAGCGCTTGGGGCAGCTGCTGCCCGGGGCGTCCTTGGCTCTGTCCCTTCCCCTCGGACACCTCTCTATGCCCCCAGCCCCTCCCTAGGACGGCAGTTCCGAGGCTGGCAGCCCCCTTGTCCCTGTCCTGTGGCTGTGGTGGGCTCGAGGCAGGGGCTGTCCCCACCGCTGGGGCTGAGTGCTGATGTCCGGCCCTCTCCCCAGCCCTTCCCCAACAGCACCAATCTGCTGGCCACGGAAATCAGCCAGTCCGTGCTGTATCGGGGGCCCGTCGACCCCGCCAACTGGTTTGGGGTGCGGAAGGGCTACCCCAACTTGGGTTACATCCAGGTAAGTGAGGGGTGGGGCCGGGGGCGTGGTCGACATGAGGTGTGACTGACCTGGAGCAAGGCTGGGGGAGGCTGGACTGACCTGCCAGGTGTCTGATGGGAGTGCGGATGGAGCACGGGGTGGGGCTGTCATGGGG